TGTAAACAAAGAGGACTGTTCTGAATGTAACACTAAAAGGTTAGGATGTGCAGACTGACCTAACCGTAGAGAGGGTTACAGGAAGTACTGTCACATAACTGTAAAACTTATTTATCTACTAACACAATCAACTGTTGAAAAAGAGTATGTGGATCTGACCTTCTAGTTTACATCACTGTAAACAAAGAGGACTGTTCTGAATGTAACACTAAAAGGTTAGGATGTGCAGACTTACCTACCCGTAGAGAGGGTTACAGGAAGTACTGTCACATAACTGTAAAACTTATTTATCTAATAACACAATCAACTGTTGAAAAAGAGTATGTGGATCTGACCTTCTAGTTTACATCACTGTAAACAAAGAGGACTGTTCTGAATGTAACACTAAAAGGTTAGGATGTGCAGACTGACCTACCCGTAGAGAGGGTTACAGGAAGTACTGTCACATAACTGTAAAACTTATTTATCTAATAACACAATCAACTGTTGGAATATTTGTTTTCTTACTCAGAAGTTCATTGATAAGAATAATATACATTGTGAAGGTTGATAAATGCTCTGCTGTGTTACATTGTTCATGTTTTGCAGTGCACTTATAATAAATATGTGCCTATATATATATATGAATAGGTTTAATAAACATTTGACTCTATAGGCAGCATGAATTACCCTAAAAAATATGATCAAATACACACCTATATGTGCTGGTACAGTGTGATATCTTCATGAGCTTGAAACAATGCAAGTAAAAATTGTAAGTCATAACTTAGGCTGAAAAATTCTCAGTTCAATTGTAAGAATTCACCAAAATACACACCTATATGTGCTGGTACAGTGTGATATCTCCATGAGCTTGAAACAATGCAAGTAAAAATTGTAAGTCATAACTTAGGCTGAATTGACCAAATTCACCAAAATAGTCTTAATTATTAAAACTTAAAGAAACCTGAAAATAAACTAGAAATTAATTACTACTGTGTCTTTTGTGAAACTAAAGCAATACTTGAAACAGTATTTTATTCCTGGCTGATAAAAGACTCACCATGATGGCACGTAATCCTCTTGCACCCGTCTTTTTCTCCATAGCTTGCTGTGCTATTCCTCGTAAGGCACCTTGCGTAAACATCAGCTCAACCTATATACAGGCAACAAGTGGCTTTAATTATTTACAAAGATTATAATAATACTGCATGTATTAATTTTTTCAGCACGGGCTCAGTCCCTGAGATATACATTTGAATAACTTAAAAAATCATAAATTAGTATATCAATACCACAGAATTCCACTATAATTTATCAAGTTTAGTAATTAAGCTGTATTTGAGTCTAAAAAAAAATACGAAATTTCGAGTAGACCTCCTCCTCGAAATCTTGGTTCGAAAGAAAGAAATGGCATCCAAAGATGTTAAAATGGCTGAGAAAGCCATTAGGGGAAAATTCTGAGCTTTTGATTGGTTATTCATGTCATATATAGAAGTAATTGTATATAAGGGAGCATTTCCAAAATTCGAAAGAGGTGGGCAGAGTGCCACTGTTTAATTTAATACGAGCAGTATCTTAGCAAATAGAAAAGATAAGAGGTTCTTATTTTATATTCTAGCTTGTCAATATCAGTAATTTGAGCTCCTAATTCGTATGAAACTGTAGACCAGTGCTGCATTCAACATACCACGTGACACACAAAAATCAATGCTTGACTGTGTTTTTTTAATATTTACTTTTAAATTAAGAAATTGAGTAATGTATAATCTACAGTTTGATACTAATTCATGAAACAGTAGTTCAATAAAATTTTCAATGCATTGACATGGCCTTTCACCCATGACCCGTATGGAAAGGGTTAATTAACACGCAAATATAAACAACTGCAATATGAGGTAGAATGATTCAACATAACTACCACTAGGAAGTATACGAAACTACAAATTGTTTGATTTCAAATCTGCACAATATACAATAAGCTTGCTGTAAGTTGGATAAAATACTTGTTGGGAACTGGGTTGTCGGAATTCTGCAGCATTTTGATAAATGTCTTCATATTTACAACAAGGTAAACCTCATCATTGATACTTTAATTATATATAAAAATAACTGAACTGTTATACCTTATCCATGCTCAAGAGCATCTGAAACTGTGGTACCAGAGCATTATGAGGTTCAGTTAGGATCTGCATTAACATATCCTCATCGAGACTGTGGAAAGGAACCAGAACAGGAAATCGACCAACAAATTCTGGAATCATGCCAAACTCAATTAAATCTCTTGCTTCCACACATCGAAGCATTGCATCTTTCTCTGCATTGTCGTCAGCAGCAGTACTGTGTGCTGTAAGATTTGCCAAGTCAGCTGCAGAAGCTGCTCTTCGACCAGGAGATTCAGACACTGGTGCACCAAAACCAAGGTACTGAAAATAACATATTTGAAACACATTAACTTGGGAATGAATGAAAACACTGGACATTCAGTAACAGACAATAAACAGATGAAATATTGTTACACACAAAATTCAAAGCTCATTTCTTGATAAAATTAATAAAAAGTTATAGATTTTTGGTAAATTTGATTTTTTTTCCTTTCAATTGCATCCTTACTTTTGTTAATGCAAGTATTTTGATGAAAAGCTGGTGGTTATAAAATTATAAGTAGAAATACCATACCTTTTCATTTTTCCTTCTACTAACTAGTCTGTCTAATCCGTTGAATGCTCCTGAAGCAACAAAAAGAATATTTGTTGTATCTACTGCTACTGTCTCTCCTCTTAGTTTACGACTGTTTCTTTCTGGGACGTTGACTAGAGTTCCTTCTAGCATTTTCAACATACCCTATTATGAAATAATAAAGAGATTCATAGGACTGGAGCCAATATTTCCTTTTCTGTAAATATACTTTACTGATAATAATGACTACACCTCTTATTTTGGAATATTTAATAGTTTATAAAGATGTTTTCAAAGAGTAGACTGTACAAGAAAGTTTGAAAGGATTTAAAAAATAAAATTTCCTGAAAGATTTCTATTATCATTTGTTAAAGCCATTTACCATTTATTTTTCTAAAGCAAAGTCAAAATTCTCTCGAGCTTTCTAAACCCTAATTCTACATTACAGTAGCTTGTAAAAATGTAAGTTGAGTTGAAATATCACCAAGGTTTTTCAGTTGTCACAGCTATGACTTATTAGTCAGGTGTCATTTAACTTAACATATAACTGGAGAAGGCAACATTAAATTAAGAATTATGAACAATTCTCCAACTCCTTTTTTTAACTTGTCATGTATTGTCGGATATACAAGACTGTTTAACTGTTCTTATTTAGTTTATTTTGTGACTTAATATGTAATGATTGTTTAGTTTTCATGACAGGAGTGTTGAAGGTTGCTTGTTTTAAAAGTTTTATGAATAGATTCATGCATTATGTATGAAGTTTAATTGTTGTAGTATTGTTGATGTCATCTTTCTCTAAGCCTCTACATTTTTCTCGCTATGTAGGTATTGTTCCATCACAGCATCTCATAGTTTGTAGAAAGTTCTAGGCTTCAGTTGGGCAATGTATATATAGGTGACCAAGAAAGCAAAGTTTAGTTAGTGAAAGAAAACGTGAAGTTAGCCGGCAAGCGAGTGATTAGCCTTAACAGGTGATTTCTGCAGTGTGTTTCACAGCTTTATTGTAACAACAGAGATAAGAAAATAATTTGTCTTGTCAATTGGGTTCTAAAGTAACTGAACCAGCTTGTGTGAATTTTTGACAAGAAAAGAGAATTATTTAGAGTTTTAGACACAACTGTGATATCCTATCATGTAAAAAAATTGTTTACATACATTTAACTTGTTTTAAATATATATATATTATTTTAAAAGAAGTGGATTGTGTACTTTACGTTTATTGTTCAAATTTATTGCCAACAACTCACAGACACCTACTGTAAAGAATCCGGCCTCTTATACAAAAAACCCTGACATGTATATACCTGTAAATACAATCTGTACATAAGACTACTTGGTATATAAAACACCCCAATACAAAATAGGAAAGACCAAAGAAGAAATTATTTATTATATTTTTCCAGTAAATTCATAATTTCTGAAAATCTCATATTAATTGTAATGTTAAGCTTGAGCAGTCTACTGAGACAGTAGTCTCCAATTTAAGTTGTGATCAAAATAATGCTCTAATGTATGCATTTTTTGTTTCTACATACACAAAATGTCAATTGGGTAATTTTAATTCCAACAGTAAAACTTTTGGTCATTGTGAAGGAATCCTAGCAGTCAGTATAAAATTTATCTGAAAAATGACTTATTTTTCTTCCTGTTTCATACACTTCAAAATAACCACAACATAAGTCCTACCTGTACTGTTTCACAAGTTTAATAGTTTAAATTCATTAGTGAATGTTCTCCCAAAGCTTAGCTATGCCTGGATTGAAATAAACTATTTCCTAATTTATATAAGTCATGATAATCTGGTAGAACGGAATAGAGGGAGTCACATGCGTAACGAGAGTGTGTGTGGCACTCTAACTGATGGAGGGTTGTCGCATGATGATTTACATGAGAGAATCATTGAAATAAGTCATTTCCAATGGAGGGGAAGCAGAAGGATTGTGGCATGCATAATTTATTTTGCATATAGAGGGCAGCATTGAATGAGAATAGCTATTTATGTGAGCGGAGGTAATGTTCCGTATCGGAAACACCATTTTCCAAGTAAGTAGATAAAAACGTAAAGTAAAAATACCTAGTTAAGTATCTTAACTTAAGAATGTTATTTCATAGTCAGTTATATCAAGATTACAGGTATTTTCATAGCATGCTTAGGTAAGTTCAGCTTCTGTAGAAGAAATTAGAATCTGTCACTTAACACTTTGCTCTTAATTGGCCCAATATGGGTTGTTGATAAGAAGATACTATCTAAAGTATAATTGATCTGTAGGAGAGTGATACCCACAGTTGTCATTTTGTTCAATATCACAATTCATCAGATTGAAGTAAGGGAATAAATTACTCAGTCAAAAACTATTTATATGAGTCATGTGAGACATTAACACATATAACAGAGATAATAAATTATCATAAAGGTTAAACAAAAACTAGTTAACACTACTTCTTAGTGGGTGACCGAAACAAGTTATCTGTAAGGACTTTACTGATATCACATACTTGTTGTACACCCTCTCCGCCAACATCTCGGAGCTGGTGGATCCCAGGCACTGCACCAATTTTGTCCACTTCATCCAGGAATACAATCCCTAGTTAAATCCAAAAGATTAAATCATGACTGACATTGGCCAGTTTTGAAAATGTGTGGCGAAATCTTACAATAAAAGTAGCATATTTAACTTCAAGTATTATTAGTGTCCTTGAACTACATGTTAACTTTTTCCTTTAAAATCACTCGATGTAACATCTACTACGTAAAGAGAAATCATCCAATACTTGATAATTTAATATTTATTCAAAAACAGAAAGTCTGTTAATTTTGTTTTATAATATTCCTACAATTAGAAAATGTATTTATAAGTTTTTTGTACAATACAATTAAAGTTTTTTTTGGAGAATAGTTACATGTACTAAAAAAACAAGAAACAATCAACATGACACCATCATTCAGTGTTATCAGATAATAACTACTGAACATTAGTGTATGTAATCATACTGATGGAACTGTTACGAGTTCACAATTAGCTCTAATATTTGCAACTGCTCTTCTGTTTCATGAAAACAAGTTACAGCAGTGTGTCCAATTAATTTTAAACCCATTTTTTATATTTAAAGACAGAGAGCATATAGTAATATTTCTTTAATAAACGTTACAGTAACTTAATGATAGTTTCATACCTGTACCTTACATAGTTTTTAGTATGTCATTCAAGTCACCAAACCATGAAATCCTATGTTAACTCAAGAGGATTCTATGACACCATTATTGTTAAAATCAATTCTTTACTGTACTCTTTCATCTGAACAACTATGGCAAAAATAAAAATATATATATATATTCCGTGACCTTGGGTTCACCCAATAAAACCTTATTAAAATTTTCTGTATTTCTGAAGGGGACATACCATAATTAAAAAAGTAATACATTTTCAACTAGTTATACTGTTAAAGTAAACATGCATTATTTTAAAAAAACGGACACTTCATTTTAAACTCTTAACCGCAGGTTAATGGTACACCATAAACCTACAGTGATAAAGTGCCTAAGTTTACTTTTCCTACCAAGGAACCCTGATGTTATAGCATAAATGATAAGAAACCTATTGTACCTTATTCAGTGTGCAGTAGTATTTCAAACCACATTATTTAAGTACAAGTAACTATAATACATGTGGGGGGGAAATGTTGTTTATTGATATTGGTTTGGTTTGAATTTTGTGCAAAGCTACATGAGGGCTATCTGCATTAGCTGTCCCGAATTTAGCAGTGATAGACTAGATGGAAAATAGCTAGTCAACACCACCAACTATTGGACTATTCTTTTACCAATGAACGGTGAGATTCACCATCACATTATAATGCTCCCACGGCTGAAAGGGCAAACAAGTTTGGTGGGACAGGAATTCAAATCCATGGCCCGCAGATTGTGAGTGAAGCCCCCTAACCACCAGGCACGACCATAAAACTATGAAAACTGAAGTTATAAAGTTTAACAAACTCAAAACTTCACTCTGTTCTTCTGACACTGAAACAAGTAAATAAATGTACAGAGCAGCTCTTAGAATGCAGCAATTCCAAAATAAATCCAACAACGGAGCTTGAGTTATTTTATAACTTTTAGTTTAAACACTATGTATACCATTAAAAATCAAATTATATCACCTATTTCTACCTCAATCATGCCATCAAGTCCTACCTTGCTGTGCACGGTCTATGTTATAATTGGCGTCTTGCAAAAGCTTAGCTATGACTGACTCAATGTCCTCGCCCACATATCCTGCCTGTGTTAAAGTGGTACAGTCACAAATTGCAAATGGAACATCCAGACAGCGGGCAATGGTTTGAGCTAAGAGAGTTTTTCCTGAAACAATATAAAAAACAACACTTGTATAAACAATATATCAATATTGTATGTGTTATCAGTCTGGCTAATTAAACATATTTTTTGTACATTTATACTTATAAAGATTAGAATACATTATTTCATCTTACCCCTTCTCTTTGAGCTTGGAAATAAATAAAAAAAGAAACTATTTTTGACACCTTGCAAAGTCTGAGAAAACCATGTGGGGGAAATTGGTTATAAACATGTAATAGAATGAAGTGGGTGTACGTAAGCAAGTATTTCTAAAAATGGAAGAGGTGGGTGGGGCCATTGTGTTTGATTCACTAAATATGGTGATATCTCAGTAAGTAGAAAAGATAGGTGGTTCTTATTTTATATTCTAGCTTGTAAATATTGGTAATTTGAGTTTCTATTTTGTGAGAAACTAAAAACTGTACTTGGACTCGACATCTAGTTTGAAACAGAGCTGCATTCAACATACCACATGACACACACAAAATCAATATTTACTTTTAAATTAAGGAATTAACTAATGTATAATACTAAAATTTGAATTAATATCTACAATTTGATGCCAAACTTATTGTTATACATTCATAAAATAGTAGTTCAATAACATTTTGAATTTAAGTCTACAAATGTGATGACATGCCCTCTGACCCCTATGTAGGTAATGAAAGGATAGTGTGAACCAAAAAACAAAGACATGTCTTTTGATGAATGAATTTAATCAACAGTCAAGTAAAATAAAAAAATATTACAGTTTAAAAATATGTAGAATTATGAAAATACACTGTTAAAAGAAATCTGTTCAATTATCCTCTATAAAAACTCTCAAAAACTGTGATTTAAGATGATGTAGCAACGCTAGACAATTTTTTGGGTGACTTCAAAATCAGTGATTTCTTGGATTATACAACCTTTAATGTCATCACAACGTCAATGAATGACGTTTTATTGTACGTAATGTCACAACGTCATTGAATGACGTTTTATTGTACATGTCACATCGTCAATGAATGACATTTTATCATACATAATGTCACATCGTCAATGAATGACGTTTTATTGTACATAATGTCACATCGTCAATGAATGACGTTTTATTGTACGTAATGTCACCCCGTCAATGAATGACGTTTTATTGTACATAATTTCACACCGTCAATGAATGACGTTTTATTGTACGTAATGTCACACCGTCAATGAATGACGTTTTATTGTGCATAATGTCACATCGTCAATGAATGACGTTTTATTGTGCATAATGTCACATCGTCAATGAATGACGTTTTATTGTACATAATGTCACATCGTCAATGACATTTTACTGTACATAATGTCACATCAATGAATGATGTTTATTGTACGTAATGTCACATCAATGAATGATGTTTTATTGTACGTAATGTCACATCAATGAATGATGTTTTATTGTACGTAATGTCACATCAATGAATGATGTTTTATTGTACGTAATGTCACATCAATGAATGATGTTTTATTGTACGTAATGTCACATCAAGCTTTTTACAGGAAGAGCTTTTCCAATGGCTTGAACCCAAGTGGCGACTTAATCCCGTGACAGCTCAAAAATTGGACACTAGTATTTGGTAGATCTTTGTTGGATTGAAACAGTCGTAATCTGTGCTGCCATCAGTGTTGTGCAACGTTACCCTCTTAAATCTATTTGACCTGGTATGCACTTGCAAATGATTGTCCAGAAGGGATGTTCTACCTTGAGTTTAAGTGTTAACATTTCACACAATTAACGTATGACAAAAAAAGCGAAAGAGAACATCAAATCTTTGTTCAAGTGGCATTTCTACACTGAAAAAATCATTTGCTTGATGTGTGGCATATCACTTTTGATGCACATCAAACAGAGACAGTCTCTATGTTCTGTTTCTTGTTTTCAACCAGGGTATGATCAAAAAACATTTTGCTCCACCAGCTTATTCAAAACATATGCAGTACAACAACATAAGCACATCATCCCCCTTTCCCTGCAGCTTTCATTCGTTTTCTTCTTGAAGTATACCATTTCATTGTTCATCTAGAAATCCAGGATAACTACTGCTGTGTCTTAGCAACACTCTTTCAGTTCATCATGCACAGCTGTAATACAAACTCAGTTTTAGCTTATCCAGACAATCACTCAGCACAGCCTCAGCTCCTTCATCATCTGCAATATATAAAGCAAAGATCTTCAACTAGACAGTAATGGGAACTACAATTTACACAAACTATGTGTTATTTCTCATCATTCTTTGTTGGTTTTTGCAAAGTCTGACTGTGGAGCATCACACAATCATCTTTACTTTGGCACAATAAAATTTTTGTTGACAACGACTCCTGTTGTGGTTCAGAAGGAATCCTGTTGCTAAGAGGAATATCTACTGTTTCATTCGTAAGGTCTTCCGGTAACACAGACCATAACCTTGCATAATACGACAGTGTAAGTTGTCAATTCTTCAACAATTTTAAGAAACTTGATTGCCTGAGAGGGGTTTTACTCTCTGATTCACAACAAGTTTTGTAAGACTCAACCTTCTCAAAGGTGGATGTCTTCCACAGTGTGATGGAAACAGGATGTTTGTCTGTTTAAAGGCAGATTCTCTGTTCCCCAACAGAGCTGTCCAGCTCTGGCAGGTGATAGCACATACATAGCTGCTTCTTCAACCAGAACTGGTATTGTACCTCTGAAATGTACAGGTACGTGGGATGGATGGATGAATGATGTAATTTGTTCAATGCATTGCGATGGTAATTCTGGAAGAACTGGTTTCAGAGATTCCTGCATTGACAGTGAAAGGTTTTGCTGAGAACTTAAAAAAAACTCCTCATTTCCAGTCTTTGATGAATGACTTGACATGAAAAACTCCTCAAAGCTCTAGGTCATTTCAACAAGTTTTGTTTAGGGCTAGAGTATTCACACATTGTATACTGTGGATATCCTGCTGGAATAGGGCTAGGGTGTTCACACACTGTATACTGTGGATAGTCCTGGAATAGGGCTAGGGGATTCACACATTGTATACTGTGGATATCCTGCTGGAATAGGGCTAGAGTATTCACACACTGTATACTGTGGATAGTCCTGGAATAGGGCTAGGGGATTCACACATTGTATACTGTGGATTATCCTGCTGGAACATGGCTAGAGTATTCACACATTGTATACTGTGGATTATCCTGCTGGAACATGGCTAGAGTATTCACACATTGTATACTGTGGATTATCCTGCTGGAACATGGCTAGAGTA